GCCTGGGTGTTTCCAGCCAGACACACTCTGATTCCTGGGCACTGGCCTGATTCTTCAAATAGGCTCCAAATTTGCACGGAAGAAGCACTTATTACTAGCTCAGTACCACATCTAGGATTAAAAGCAACAGCTCTCAAGTACTGTTTGTGTAAAGATCAGTGCAGGCAGCAGCCAGGGAAGTGATGCAAGTGAAGGATTTCTCTTGCAGGCATTGGAGACCTGGGAGAATTCTGTCATCAATTAAAATGCAGCAGAACACTGCAGCCCTTAATTCTGGGGATCTCAGATGTTTTAGTTAATGGAGATGATTTATCTCTACACCTGCACTGACAGTTCTGGAAGGCAGTGGGGGACAGGCATTTAAAGGTATCATTGCTTGGTTTTCCTCACATGCCACTAAAAGCATTTCCTGCTCACAGCACAGCAAAGGTGGATCCTTTCGGACTGTGCCCCTCTGCTGACCATCAAACACTGAACGAATCCTTTTCCTTCTGCCTGAAAATTCCCTGCTCTCATTACTGGAGCCTTCAGCACAGGAATTCGGTCATTCCATGCTCTCTTCCTTCATAGCCCCTGGTGCTCTGAGCCATAAACACACCAGCAGGTTCCACAGGCTCTGCAGCAGGGCTCGCTGGGCTTGGGATCCAGGACCCAGCTGCTGGAATGTGGGACAGGCTCTGTGCTTGTATGGGGGAATGAGGAGGGCACTGGAGCCTGTGAAGCTGCCCAGGGGTCCCAAGGAGCTCTGTCACCGCCAGGTCCCCGTGGGCAGAGTTTGGAGCCTCACCTCTGCAAGGTGTTTATTTACCCCGAGACATCCAAGGCTGGTGCCCAGCCGAGGTCACTGAGCTCCCCCAGCCTGGCTGAGCCCCCAGGACAGCCTGGGGCACTTTCCAGGCACAAGCCCCTCTCAGCGCTGCTGGATCGAGGTGCAGCTGCCCCTCCCCACGCCCAGGTCCAGCTCCTGCTGCGGGATCACATCGTCTCAGTTCACAGGGATAATGGGTGGAAAGAGCCTAGAGACACCTGCTCAGTGAAGCAGCCAGGGATGGAGCAAATGCATTAAAACCTGAGTGAAATTGCTGCAAACAAAGTGCAGGAGTTCCTGCAGCTCGGGGTTATCTGCTGCTTTCCCGTTCCGAACCGGCGGAGCATGGCCGGCTCTATTCATCAGCCTGAGCCCTGGAAAGCAGAATTTCCCTGCCTTGATGTTGTCCCTCCTCAAAGAGACTCCCAAAAAAGGCAGGCCCCATGCATCTTTCATGGGGCATTAAATAACTCGCTCTGCTATCTATAATTTAATCCAAGCTGCAGAGGCTGAGAGAGGGGTTCCAAGGGGGGAGATTTCTCTGCCTGCCTTGAGCCCTAGAAGTGCTGCAGGCAGGGAGGGGACAAGGAGGGGGCACTGCCAGCCCAGACCGGCGCTCCCAGCCCCACCCAGGCTCCCCCAGCTGCCCCCAGGCTGGGAGCAGGATGGGGCTGTTGAAAGCACATTTCCACTCCACAGCACAGATGTTCCCAGCCCGTGCCAAAAGAGCAGGAGAAGCTCAAAGAAAGCAAACATTGTCCCAGGGCAGAGAGCAGCAGGCAGGGAGGAAGGTTTCTCTTTCTTTTCTGTTATTAGTATCAGGATGATTTGGCAGCGTGGAAATGGATTTCTCTCTGGCCTGAATCAGTTCAGCTCAGATCTATTCAGGATTTTATCTGGAGATCCAAGCGTTTCCCTGGCACTGATGCCCAGCTAGAGGGAACATTTCTAGTGCTGTCCTGTCCCCGTGTCTCCCTAATCCAACCCAAACCCTCCGTGTTTTTGTATCCATCCCGCTGTCTGGTGTCCCAGGCAGTTCATGCCAGCAACAAGGAATTTTCCATTGTAGTGACCAAACGTTTCCATCCCTTCGTTGTATTTGACACTCAGATTTTGCCCACCCCACATTTGCTCTGAAGCCGAAGCAGGAAATGGCAGCTTGAGAGGCAGGAGCTGGAGAGAGCCAGGAGATCCCAAAAAGGCATTTTAGGGAGAAAGTGCTGACGCAATCCAGCAGTGCCGGATGCGGCAGCATTGATAAATATTTGATTTAGCCTGAATAGGAAGGCATCACGTTCAGAATGACCTGAAAAAGAAGGAAGATGACAAATACAGTGCCACTGAAAGGCAGATTCACACGGTGAGCATTCTTGAGGCTCACTCCGGTGTGCAAATTGCCTTAAATTGGAATGAACTGGAGTTACCTGTGGGAAAGGCACCGCTGCCTGCTCCAGGCCGGGTGGGATGCACTGACAGCCATGGGGTGCCTCTGCCTATGCTTGGAAAGACACTGATTCAGTTTTCGGTCGTTGGCTGATGTGTGCTGTCAGAATTCCTGCACTGGCATCACAGGGGGCAGCTGGGGCGTGCTGACAGGTTCCCGGGGAAAAAAAATTTCACTGCCCAGTGCTTCTTAATTCTGGCAGGCTTGGGGTTTTTAACATGACTGAGTTTCACCCTCTCAGTTTAGACCAATTTCCTTGGCTATGTTTGTCGGCTCTCCCTTCCCATCCATCCCCCTCTAACAAACACCAGGTTCTGATCCAGCTCTCAGTTCAGCTCCTGCCTCTGGACTCTCCAGTCCCCTCACTTTTCTTTAGGCTTTTCTCCACTTTCCTTAAGGAGTTGCTTTGGGTTTCTGGTTCCCCAAGCCCTGCCTGGGTTTCCTCCCTCCCTCCCTGCACTGCAGCTCTGGCTCGCGTGGGATGCTCCAGGCCTGAGTGTCCGGCCAAAACTGGCCAGAGAGAAACAACAAGTGCTTTTCTCTTCAGTGAGCCAGGAGCTGCTCTAGATAAACCCATTCTTCCCACACTGCATGAGGCACAACCTGCCCTTGTTAGAGAACTGGGAAAGGAAAAGCCCCACATCCTCACACAAACGCTCTGGTGGATCCTGGTTTCCATCTCCTTGGGGTCTGCAGCAGGGCTTGCAGTGTGTGGTGCTGGGAGCAGGGCCAGGAATCTGCCAGGAGTCCCAGGGAACACTCAGGACTCTGCTTTATGGATTGTCACCTTTGGATAGGAGAAGGGACCCAGATGTTAAGGATGTCTTTCCCAAAGGAGCATTTTATCCATTGGCTTTGTAATGATGGATTTCACAGCTTTGGCCAGGAGGATGCTGAGGAATGAACTTCAGTAGTGGATGCAGAGTCAGCTCAGGAGTCAAACCTCTGGGCTTGGGGGGTTTGTAGCTGGAATTTCAGCTCAGCTCAGACTTCCCTGAGTGTCTGGGCCAGCAAGAACCCTGGCAGTGCCAGCAGCTTCCCTCAGGCAGGCTGAGAGCCCCCACAGGGCTGGTGGGGCTCTGCAGGGCCAGGGGCTGCCCTGAGCCCCTGCACTGCATCCCCCAGCCCAGAGTGGCTCCCCAGGCACAGCAGGGTGGGACCACCCCCGACATGGTCCTTCCATGGCCATTCCCGTCTTCCCAGGAGGAAAAGCTGAGTGCCCAGGCTGGCCCCGGGGTGGCTCCGGGTGGGAGCTGCAGTCCCTCCAAGGCAGCTGCTGTGTCGGGGGTCTGGCAGGGGGCAGGGGGTGACCCCAGCCAGGCTCTCAGGGGACATCCCGTGCCAATCAGGGCTGGCTGAGGGCGGGAGGAAACTTCTGCTGTGCTCAATCCTCTCTTCTCTCTGGATAAGCAGCTCCTGGGCCCGGGGCCACTTGTGGTGGAGCCGTCCCTGGGGACCCAGGGCTGGCTGATCCCCCTCCATCTGCTCAGCAGACGCAGCACGGGATGGATTTAGCCTGAGATCACTCCAGGGGCAGCACACAGCCCTGTGCCCGATCCGTGCCCGGCACACCGCTGGCTGCCAGCCTGGCATCCCCCTGGGACGTCACCGTCCTGTCACCACCCCCGTGCTCAAACCCCAGCCCAGGGACTGGACTCCCCTGCGGGGAGAAGCGACCGTGACATCCAACAGCACCTCCTGACCCTTCCTCTGTCATCCTGCTCCATCTCCCTAACCCCAAACAGACACCAGGGTGTGGTGCCAAACAGTGTGGGGTGGGCAGGAGGCGCCAAAGGCTCTGGACGCTGCCAGCACTGGGTTGGAAACCCCCTTTTTGTGACTCTGCGAAGGAGCTGTCATTGTGTCCCCAGAGCTCAGTGCGGAGCGTGCAGAGGTGACCACTGTGCCACCGCTGCAGCTCAGAGCGCCCGGAGGTGGCAGAACTCGGGCATCTCGCAGTGACGCCGTGACACCCTGAGGCGAAGCTGAGGGCAGCAGGGCAGCGCTCGTGGAGCAGGGGCGGGACTGCCGGGAAAGCCGTGGAGGGGACAGAGGGATGGTTCACCCCGGGCGGGGATGAGGGTGGGCTGGGGCACCCCGGGGGGATGGGGGGATGGCTCACCCCTGGGGACAGGGGGCGTGGAGGGCTGGCTCAGCCGGTCGATGCTGCGGTGCCCGGGGTGATGCTGGGGACACCGGGGCAGGCGGGGCACGGCCGCCCGTGCCGCCAGCGGCACCTCCCCGCTACCCCCCCTCCTCCGCTCCGCTCCCTCTTCCTCCTCCTCCCGTCTCCCTCTCCCGAGCCAGCCCGGCCGGGGGAGGAGCCGGCCGCGCACAAAACCTCCCGCCCGGCCCCTCCGGGCCCCGCTCCGGCACCGGCACCGGCGGCGCCCAGCGCCCGCCCGGGGCCATGCGCGCCGCGGCGGGGCCGGGGCCGGGGCAGGGCGGCGGCCGCCCGCGGCCATGAGCGCGGTGGGGCCGGGCGGCGGCCCCGGGCGGCGGCGGCGGGCGGGGGGCGGCGGGGCGAGCCCGGCGGGGCGGCCGCGGGCAGGGGGCGGGCGGCGGCGGCGGGCGCTGCGCTCGCTGGGCAGCCTGGCCGGGCGGCTGCTCCGCACCTGGGCGCGCCTGGCCGGGGGGCGCGGGGCCCGCCGCGCCGCCCCCGAGGATGACGAGGGCGGGTTCCGGGGGGGGTCGCGGCGGCGGCTCGGCGGGGCGGCCCCGGCGACGGCGGCGGCGGCGGCGGGGGGCGATGCGGGCGGCGGGGAGCGGCCGCCGGGCGCGCAGGGGCTGCGGAACCACGGCAACACCTGCTTCATGAACGCCGTGGTGCAGTGCCTGAGCAACACGGCGCCGCTGGCCGAGCGCCTGGCGCTGGGCCGGTACCGCGCCCGAGCCGAGGTCACGCAGCGGCTGGCGGGCCCCGGCCGGCCCGCCCTGCCC